CTGTTATTCTTATTTGTGATGAACTTGGAGTAGAACCTGATGTGTACCATTGTGTTGGTCAAACCACATCACATCTCAGACAGAGTTCAAGTGTTTTGAGGTTTATTTCCCTTATAGCAGCTTGCTTGAGGCGGTAACTGCTGTAACCAGTTCACTTTCTCAAACCTGGATTGTTTTCCATTGAGTTGAGGAAAAAGAATAAGGATGATTCAGTCTGAGTTTATTAAGCTGCCAAGTATGTACTGTTTCTTTGCCAAATGTAATGAAAAGATCAAAAGTAGTTCAAGGGAATGGGGAGAGGGAGAAATAATAGTTAAATCTTTTATCTATCATTCCCGGCGGAGCTGTTGAGGACAAGATAATTACACCATATGTAGTCGGAGTGCGGCAAAAACCTTTCACTTCTCCCTGCTGAAGGTTTTATTTAATCCCCTTCGGATAGATGTGAGTCCTTCTAGTTCATCTTTTGACTGGCAATGTTTCCAAGCAGTGTCAGGCTGATGAGCATTTGCTGGAAGTCTTCTGCTATCTGGGCTGCACAGTGTTTAGTGGTGTGAAACTGAAGTCTGTGACAGTGGACTGTCGTTCTACTGGGAACCACTAAAGCAGGGGGAGAGAGATATTGATATAGACGCAGACACACAGCTTTATTTATTAAATAATACTAATAATACTACTTGGACGGCAGCAGCAGTGTTATTTTTATCCAATCATTCTACTTTGAGTGAAAGATAGAACATATACAGATATGGACTGAATTGAATGACTGCTACACTTCCACTGCATTGCTCTGTCTTTCTCTCTTTTATTTTCATATATAGAGCCCATATTGCATATATATGCGAGGAAGCATCATTCAAACTGAAGACAGCTCACACAGGTGGGCCTACAAATCAGGAGAACACACACAGGAGTTTCAACAAAAAGCAATACAAAAACACAACTATATCAGTGATTCCCTATCCCAGGGTTTAACTACTTCTGCAGCTGCCATGGAGCAGGCCTTTCTGCAAAGATTGTAGAAAAGCTCAACTGATTAAACAAATTATTATAAAATAAAAACCTAAGTTTTTAAGATTTCCAAATATTGAATAAGATTTAATACCTGGGGCCTCATTTATAAACGGTGCGTACGCACAAAAGATGGCGTATGCCAGTTTCTACGCACTGTTTGCGATTTATAAAAAACTAACTTGACGGGAAAATGTGCTGTCCTCCACGCAAACTCTGACCCATGCGTACGCACTAAGCACAAAAACGGGAGAGACGAGAAACTGTGACACCGTTGGCAGAAGGAAGAATGGAGAGAAATATGTGGAAATAATACCATAAATAAAATGTTACCTCTCATTTATCATATGAAGAATTCATTTTCACAAATTGATTAAAGCCAATCTTAAAATGATTTAACAAACGCCTGTTTGAGACTCCTCAGTGCACACAGAAACATAACTTGGAGAAATAAATAAATACGGAAATGTTATTGATCACCCCTCGATTATGTTCTCTCGTTAAGAAATGTATTCTCATAAATGATGCGGTAAACAGAAGGACATAATTACTTTAAACCGACGCCGTTTTGCATTTCTATAGGTTGTATAGATACGAGTATGGTTTTATATACTATCACGTTTAATCATGTTTTATGCCGTTCGCCGCCTACTTGATAAGTCGCTCGTAAAACACAGGAGGTATGGAAACTAAGAACACCATATGTGGTAAATTGTACAGCTAATATAACACAACACATTAGTTGTATTTCCTTTAACTGGTGGATTATGGATATATAGTTGCTGATCGAAAGCTGGAACACAAACCACCAAATACAACAAAATAATTCAGATCCAGTCGTCATGACTCCACTCCGGAGGGATTCCCCGATCATTTCTTACAGTTTCTCATCAAGGGGGGGTCTCCTGTCCCCGGGACAAACACACTGCCTGAGGAAGGTTATGTGTATTTTTTTTGTCATTAACTTTTTTCGGACCACTTATTTATTTATTTTGGTGACGATCCGACCTCCATGCTGCTACTCTGGTTCTAACTGCATCCACCAAACAATATGATTTATCTCGACCTCCCCAAAATAACCAAAATCTGACACGGTGTGAGATGTCTTTTTTAGCTGTTCTGTCGTCATTTCCTGCGATCTTCTTCATGCAGTCAGTCAAAATGAATGAATGGGCGTTTCTTTGACTATTTATAGGCAAATATGGGCGTTACGTGAAGCCCGCAAAAGCTGCGCCGCATTTCGAGTTGATTGTGATTTATAAAGGGAAACCGGCGTAGGATGTGCCGTACGCAAGTCCTACGCCGGTACGCAGTCTTTTATGAATCGGAAAGTGTCGGTGCATATTTATTTGCTTTGTCCTACGTAAGCAACCTTCCCACGCCAATCCTACGCAAGGCTTTATAAATGAGGCCCCTGAACACTATGTGTTGCAAGCATGAAAACAGGAAGGTAAGTCTAAACAGTAAGCTACAGTAAAAGTAAGGAATTAAATATATCATTGAAATAGTAAGATACGCAGAAGACCTATTTTGATCAAAGTAAAACATAAACAGTATATATAATCCACTAAAAGTATTGGTTTAAATGCAATAGTTAGCTGAAAGTAAACACAAATATGTTTATATGTATATAATGTTTGTTTGGCAGCTGAAGTAATGGATAAACAGTTATAATGGGTAGCTATTGGATAAAGAGCTGAAATTATACAATAAATTGTATAATTGTAAGTAATTGATGAACAAAAGAAACAGTTAACTAGCATTTGAAGAAATAAATAAACTTAGTGGATAAACTGTCAAATGTGTTAGCTTTAGTAATTGATAAATGTTTAAACAAATTGTGAGCATATGTTACAGTAAATGGAAAACAGTTTACTGTTAGCTAATCTTTAAAGTAATAAATGAACAATTAAAACAGTTACTAATATTTCAAGTAATAAATAAGCATAGTGGATTAACATTCAAAATTGTTAGCTAATGTTAAAGGTAATTTATTAACAGTTCAAATTGTTTGCTTGCATAAGAAGTATTGGAAAAACAGTTGTAACAGTTAGCTGATGTTAAATGTAAAGGATAAATAGTTGACAGAGTTTGCTAACGTTAAAGATATGAATACAAATTGGTCGCTAAAAGTAATGGATTCAGATGGTTTCAGATTAAACGTCCAAATCCTGCCACTCCAAATAGTACGGCCTAAAAGTGTAAACTTGATCAAAACCGACCTCATTGTTGCACACTATTCACTTTTATATTATCAATAGTGTTAAATAAAGTCAATTTTGACATTGTTTTATGCCAACACATTTGTAACGTGTGCTTTAGTTCTCAAAGCTGGAAATGCAGCATTAATAAAGCCTGCATCCCATTTTGAGCTGGCATTCCACCTCTGTTATGATAATTCAAGATATCTGCTGTGAAAAAAAAAGTAATTGAAAAGGTTTGAGCTCATCGGAGGAAGCTATGGGTGTATGTCAAAAAAAGAATGGGAATGAGTGACCAAGATTACAACCCTAGGCGGGATATTAAGTGTATGATGATGGTTTTGTTTTATGTTGAGTATACTAAGGATGTTTTATGTGCTTTTAAAATCGTCTGTGCAGTCAAACTACAGGAGCTGATCTCCCAGCATGAAACAAGCAGATGTGTGCCCATCTTCTATGAGAACATCTCCAGCTACATTTCCAACTGTAATTTGCATTTCAATTTAGCCCTCGGCTTAGAGCTTCTTCAACTGACAGATCATCACGTGTCTTAACTTAAATTGAAGTAATAAAACAGTATACTAAAACCTCAAAGTCAAGTTACATTTTTGATTCAACCCCAGTTATGTGTGTAGTATGTCATTTAGCCCGCGGAGAGGATATTCAGGAATCAAAATAATAGTCTGCTTTGCCTTGGGCCGTAAACTAATTCTTTTTCATTCTGCTGAAGTCCTGAATTTCAGATATTAACACAGCATGAAATCAAACAGCTGTCATAATTTCCCTTGTTTTCCGTAATGACCAGACCCACCGTGGGGAAATTAGCTTGTGACTGCAGGTTGTTTGCACGGGAGGATTATGAGACAATAGGCCCACTGGGAACAGACTTGCAAAAGACCCCCCTACCTCAGCTACTGGAGCCAGACACCCAGGGGTGTCTTTTTGTTGTAGTTTTGTGTTCTCTTTGCTGCTGTTTTGTGTCCCATTTTAAGTTGGGTTTTTGTAATTATGTTTTGCCTGTGGTTGTTTAGCCCTTGTTGTAATCTGTTTTCGTCTCTTTGCATTTCATTTGTATCCTGTTGTGGTTACTTTTGTCTTTTTGTATTTGTTTTGCATCTCTTTGTAGTCGTTTTGTGTCTCTTTCTGGTCGTTTTGTGTCTCTTTCTGGTCGTTTTGTGTCTCTTCGTAGTCGTTTTTAATCTCTCTGTAGTCGTTTTGTGTCTCTTTCTGGTCGTTTTGTGTCTCTTTGTAGTCGTTTTGCATCTCTTTGAAGTCGTTTTGGCATCTCTTTGTAGTTGTTTTGTGTCTCTTTCTGGTCGTTTTGTGTCTCTCTGTAGTCGTTTTGTGTCTCTTTGTAGTTGTTTTGTGCTTCTTTAGGGCTGTTTGTGTCTTTGTAATAGTGTTACTCTGTAGTTGCCGTTTGTCACTTTGTGATTGTTTAGAACCCTTTCGTAGTTATTGTGCATCTTTTTTTAAGCGCTTTATGTTTCTTTGTGGTCATTTTCTATCCATTGCTGCTTGGTTTTTGTCACTTTGAGAGACATTTTGTAAGTAAAGGCCATGGAGACAAACGTTGTGGCCCTAAGCCTGTGCCCTGTCAGCCCGTTCAATAATCCATATATGGTTATTTACTCAACCCAATGCATCTGCTCAGTTATCTGCAGGAAGTGTCAGACTCACCAGTCATGTTCTCCGCCTGCGGACACTCTGATAAAGCATGGTGTATGAAGCATACACTGAGACATTTAAATGTGTGAACTAAGACTGAGCTTTTCTCTCTGTTTACAGTGATAACCTTCTGGTCCTGGATATCTATTTTGAAGCGCTGAACTACGAAACCATCGAACAAAAGAAAGCCTACGAATTGGCAGGCCTTCTGGGTAAGGAAATGGCTGTCTAGTGTTTACATGGGAGGAGATAATAAGCAGTATTCATATACACCTCAGATGATTTTGATGAAAAGTGACAGTAAGGCAACCGCTTGTTATTGTAAAATAGGTGTTCAGGTCCCAGATGACACAGCGCTGTCTCATCTGTTTTCTGACACATTTCAGACCTAAACAAATATTAAAAGCACATTTAAAATATGCTTCATGTGAATAAACAGATGATGATCCTCCTTAAAATGTCCTATTTCTCTCTCCAGGTGATATCGGAGGTCAGATGGGTCTCTTCATCGGAGCCAGCCTCCTCACTATTCTGGAACTCTTTGACTATCTATATGAGGTAAATGATCTCTTTAAAACACCTCCCGTCATCACCGGAGCCTCTCACCCTCATCCGGTGGTGCAATGTATTGTTTATGGAAATGTGTTCTGCTCCAGTATTAATGGTATTACTTGCGTACAAAATTGAGTTTTGCACACTATTTCACCAAGGACGTGTTTTAACGAGCGTGACGAACGCTGTGTCCCTCACAACCCTGCAGCCCATCTCTGTGCAACACACACACACACACACACACACACACACACACACACTCACACACACTCACACATCTTAGCAGCAGCAACTCTGAATACATTAACATTTTGGATGTATTATATTTTAGATTAGTTGGGATGTCTCTGTCCGTTCTCATTAGAGCAACTCTGTGTTGCTTCCTCCATTATAAATTCTACTAGCAATGCAGAAAGATATTTGTGTCCGTCTCCTTTTTAGTTTGTGTGTGTTTGCGTGAGAGAAAAAAGCAGCACCTGCATGTCCAGTTTGGAGGGCGAAACATATTTATAGATGGATAAAATCAATCTCTCTTGAATTTCATTTTTGCATGATCCTTCAAACTCCAAAGTGTGTGGGCTTGAACTATAAAACAAATGTTTTTGAACGGGTCAGTAACGGGTGTCCTCGGCTATTTTCAGGTGATCAAATACAAGCTGTGCCGATGCGTGAAGAAGAAACACAAAGGCCGCAACAACAACGACCGGGGAGCTGTGCTGAGCCTGGACGATGTGAAACACCATGTCAGTAGACTGCTGCTAAGTACTTCCACTGTATCAGACTCCATTTCATTTGACAGGGACACACTTGGAGTGAAGGAGGATGATAGGGCAGCCGTGATGGTGGTGGGGGAGGAGTCAAGAGAAAGAGATGGAAGAAACCAGGGACTGGGGAGACAGGGAAGGGAGTGAAAGTGTGATTGGGAGAAGAGGGAGAGAAAATTGATAGTGGAAAGTGGTGTGCATTTAATCAAAGCTGCTGGACATGACCAGCAGGGACAGGCCAGGATTAGAGCCTTGGAAGGTGTGACAGCTCACTCAAGTGTAAATGAAGTTCACTTTAATTGTAGGTCTGACATCAGGCAGAGGAAAAAAGGGAAAGATGTGCTCATCTTCTGATCCTCTCCCCTGCCTTACATCGGGGTCTATTCCCTCTCAGCCCCATCTTGTTTCTAATGCCACATTTATCTGGGGGTTTAGTACTTTCTCATATGTGTTTTATCTTCTGTTTTACTCTTGATGTAAGGACTCCCCCTCCCCTCTTGTTTCAATACGTCCTACCCGGGCTGATCATTTCTCTTCAGTGTCTTAATCCTCCACTCGTTTATCTTACAATCTAATTTTTGCTTTCGCTCTCTGCTCATTTTTCTCCCAGGCTCCTTGCGAGAACCTGCGTACACCATCAACATATCCTGGCAACATGCTACCCCATCACCCGGGCCAAGCAAACTTTGAAGACTTCACTTGCTGAGCAGACCCCGGGGGGAAGCATCCAAGTGCGTGTTATGCAACCAAAGCCAACCATACAAGAAGAACTATCCAGCACGGGGGGGGAGTGTGAGGAACTGATACAAAGTCTAACAGAGGCACTTTTTACATAGATACGGAGTTAAGCGGACAAATCAAACACGACAAAGAACTGTCACCCAAGGCCGAGCGGAGAGGATATCCCAAAAATAAAAAATATCTGTCAATTTTCCGGAGAACATTTCATGCAGCACTCTTCTATCTCTTGTGTATCTCTGGAATACTGCCGCAGAGGATGTGGAGGAACCTTGCCAACACGGACCTCTCTATCTCTTTCAAAAGACAACAAAATTAAATGTAAAAATAAACATGTACAGCTATCTCACCATAGACAGCAGATCATAAAAAAGACCCCCCATGCCTTTATATAACACACGATGGTTTCACACGACACCGGCCTGCTAGTGAGACTCATCCTGCTTACTCCACTTTACATGTAGCAACATAATGTACCTGTTGCAGCGCTCCGTAAAACATCAGCTGGACTCTGTGTAGTTGAGAATGTATTTATGTTCATGATGGGTGTAGTTGGGTGTGCAGGGAAGTTTTTCGGGGGGCTTGTGTTAGACATAGAGGTGCATTATCAACCATTTAAAATGTACTGGTGATGATTTCAGGTCTCATCATGTAAATGCATGCTTGTATTTGTCCAATGCATGTTTTTCATTTCATCTATCATTTTTCTTTTTTTTTTACATATATATATATAAATGATATAAGTACCAAGTTTGCCTCAATGATATACAGGAAAAGGAAGATGATACATCCCATATATATTTCTGTGTGTGTGTGTGTGTACCCAGTCAGCCTGTGTCTGCTGACTGAATGAATGAGCTGCACCTAATTTGATTTCTCATCTGTTATTTCATTTTCACGCGTGCCCTTTGAGTCGAGGAGTTTTCATTCAGCTTCATTAAGTCTTATCTCGACTGCAGGATGAGGTGAGGGGAATTATTTTTCGAGGAGTTGATCGCTGAAATCCAAGTAATGTTGGGCTGTTAAAAAAGTTTCTGTATCTGTGTTCTTGTTGCAAGAGTCTTATCAAAGCACAATACCGCCAGTATGTTGAGGTGATGTAAAAGACAACGTACTATTCTTCGTGATATATTGTCATATTATTAATATCGTGTTGATCCGACTGTTTTTCGGTTGTTGTTTTTTCTTTCATATAAAACATAATCGATATTGCCTGATAATCCTGTCTCCATCGTCCAGGTAATAGGCTGGTCTATTTAGTTATCAAAGCATAAATAAAATGTAAATATCATTTTGGAAATTGTTATTCTTCTGAGGTTTTACTCTTATCAGTGAATTCAGTCTTTAAAGCCTCTATTTGTCCGTTTGGTCGAGGTGAACGGGGGGAAAAGCGATGTATTTGTCAACTCCAGATACTGTGCAAATGTTCATTTTGAATCACAAGTAGCTCTCAGAAAATCTGATTAAGCTTTCTGGGCTTAGGGATTTTCGCAATTTTCTCTTATCAACATATTATCTTGTATTTTGCTTCACACAACATTTTTTAGAATTAAGTCAGCATTAAGAGTTTAGGGGCAGGAGTCTGGCATTAAAACATGTATTACTTATCCACTGAAACCATTCATTTGTTGCAGTTAAACCACTGCAAGCCACAACATTGGTGTTTCTGAGCTTCATACGCTTGAAATGTAATTACAGTTTCTGCTGCTCAGTGACAAAAGAATGGATGAGAAATATCCTGCACAGCCAAAACAAGTTTTACCAAGATTGTCAGTGAGCCAGCGGCCGCACATTCTGGACGGCTCCTGGTCCTCTACTGTACTGTACATCTGCTGCTGCCAGACTTGTATTAAAGGCAGCTTGGTGATGCATGACTGTGTGAATATTAGAGTCCAGTTAAACATGTTCTGCCTTGAAATCATGTTTGTTGCTCGGATGGCTGCACAGTCCGCTGCTACCAGACACTAAGGGTTATTCTAGGACAGGAAGTTTACTTTTGTCTCATGATTCTTTCATGCTATCTTTTAGCAGGGAAACCGAGCATCAACATTGTTCACCCAATGTGAGTGTGCATTCATTTTTTATTATTCAGAGGAGAAACCTCAGCTGGTATTCACACATTCACATCAAGTGCTAAAGCTCCCGGGAACCAGCTCCAACATCTGATGAAGATGTTTCCTGTTTTGAATGTCTGAAACAGGATGTTGCCCCCTGACGGTTTTATTATATTCTGTTGTACCTGCCAAGAAGACAAATTAATCAAGAAATAAAAGATGATGCTGTTCATTTCCTGTGTGCACTTGTTTCATTGTGTGAGTGACACTCTTACAACCCAGAAGATTGCAGGGTGTCAGAAAACAGGACAGCTGCCTGCCAGTGACAGAAATCCTGCAGAAGATGCTTTCTGCCTCTTGATGAGCCTCAGGCGTAAAGCTGCTGGGGGTGTGAGGGAGATGCACCGGAGGGACTTCAGACAAACTGAAAATATTTCCAAAATGTACGGCTTTGGGAGTATTTCCTGCAGTTGTGTAGTCTTGATTCAGTTTCACCTGTTGTTAGCCAATCCCTAAATCTTGGCATCCGCCTCCTGAAAGATGTCCACCTACAGTATTATGCACCTCATTCAGCTCCTCGATATAAAGATCAGAGATGTCTGCTCCCTCCCTGCTTTCACCTTGTTGCTTGACACTCAGCCAATCTGATGTATAAAAAAAAGATGCTCCTGTACTGGAAACTATCCCAAACTGCATGCTCTTCCTAAATGGCTTCAACACCCTCGGGCCTTTGGATGTGATGAAGCCCTGTTTTCATGCAGGGAACTTCTAATGCTTGTTGATATATTTTAATGAGACTTGTCGTGTGCATGTTTTTATCCACATCTGCCAGTTTAATCATGCATTCTGCTGTCACTGAACACTCCCACTCTAAATCTTTTTCATATCAGAGGCAATTCCCATCTAATCCTATTATCACATCTTATTATCTACATCGACAAGGAGATTAGGCTCTTGTTCTACACTTTCTTAATGTGGTGAACAACATTTTGTCATTTCCAGTACTTTAGCTTAACACACAAGCACACACTCAGACAAATTAAATAACAATGACTGAAAACTGGTCTAGTTTTGTGCCAATATATAGTGATGCACCAATGCAGTGCTGGGTTGTTTTGACCCAGCACTGCATTGGCTCAAGTGGACATTTCTGAATATCCTTGAAACACTAATCCCAACATTAATCTAGAGAAAATAACCAAAACATTGAGTCAAACCCATTAGCTTGGGGGATTTTCTATCCAATGTTGACTGAACACATTATTTTACCTTGCGTCAGACTACTTTATATTGCTGGATCTATACTGTACAGAAATGAATACGCCCCAGCTTGCTGCCAGCATGTCAGATGAGTCACGTTTCTGGTATAAATGTATCCTGTCAGATCTCTCTGTGCAATTAGGATGCTGAGCCGTTAGTCGGAGATAAGGCACGGCTCCTCTGGGCTCCACTTTACATTCTTCTCATCAAGAGGATTGATAATTACAGAGCAGTCAAGTTTCTCAGCACTGATAGACACTGTATTATATTTCAGACTTGAGTCCGCCTGATTTGTCCTTTCATTTGTTTAAAGTATGAAACCTTATTATTAAATATCCTGACTGTCAGCACGCTTGCAGAGGATAAACATAATCACCTGCCATCTTACAAACACAGGATTTGAAATCCCCTCTGGTATTTGAAGAACAATGGAGCAAATCTGACACTTTAATGTCCCATGAATGAGGATTTCGATGCACCTTGCGCAAAGAAAAAAGTCATAATGCACACCCCCTCCTCCCTTGTATGCTCATACAAGCACCCTCTGATCAAACACAAGCAGGCTATGCAAACAGATGGTAGGCCGTGTTTTGCACTGTTGTAGCTTCATGCTAATTGGGGGGAAGTGTAATGACATCAAAGTTTGGAAACAAGAAAGTGTGAGTGGCTGACTGGATGCCAGCCACAGCAGCACTCTCAACTTGTTGTTTACCAGTTCATTTAGAAGTCGCTTCAAAGGTTCAACATCCTCTTTCCAGATGAAACAAAGGGCTGTGATGTTATGCACGCAAAGAAGGTCAACTGACACTGGTGCAGTATGGAGGTGCTAGGGGTTGTGATTTTGATCAGCTTTTCATGAAGGGCGCTGTTTTACTAATTTATGAACCCCTGCTGAGATGAAAGAAAAGACAATATGGCTGGGATTTTTCCCTCAGCCTGATAATTAAAAATTCAGTGGGAGCACATTACTTTCAACACATTGACAAAATAAAAGCTCCAAATGTGTTTCTCCGGTCATGAAAGAGAGTCACTTTATTATTTGATTGGTTATATGTTTTTTTTAATATTCTCATATTGTGTGTCCTTTTGTTTTAAAGATTGACAGGTTGAATTTAAATGTATTTCAGATATGAGATACAGTTTCTGTTTTCTCTGTGAGCTCGAAATGCTGTTTTGTTTGAGTTTATGTGTAATAAATGCAGTGGAGTAAAAGATACTACGTATGTAAAAATTATACAAAAGAACGGTACTTCTGACATCAAACCCCGGGCAACCAATAGGGGTCGCTGGGTTACCACCACCCAAAACCCCGTTCTCGCACTCGCGATAGTTCCGTGCCTCTACCGGCGGCGACATTCAGAGAGGAGATGGCGGCCAGAGGGGGATTTCAGTCGGCACCGACGGGCGTTGTTGTAGGAGCAATGGGACCCGGACCACCGGTACCGGGCGTAGGACCAGGCATGGGTCCCGGGACTCCTACGGGACGGATGGTACCGTCGTCGGCCCAGCAGAACCACATGTACCGTTCCCCGATGCCCGGGCCTGGGTACCCGGTAAGATATCACTCCATCTTTGCTTGCTGACGCGTTAGCCAGTCCGCTAGAACAAAGCCTCTTACCGCTGCTTTGTCACAGGCGGCTAGCGTTAACCACCAACACTGCTGCGAGCCACAGCTCACTGTAGCTGCTGGCAGCCCCGCTCGAAAGTTCCCTCCGGTCAGACGCGTTTTAAACGGAGAGTTTGAGACACTATCATAGTTTGTTTGTTGTTTGAATCTGCTAACCCTCCCGCCCGCTAACGTTAAGGTTAGCTAGTTAGTCATGGTAGCCGTTTAGCTTAGCTTGCTAAAGCTAGCCTATGGCTTTTTCTTTCAGTTTGCTTGAAAACTAATCTTACAATGTTATGATTAGTTTCTAAATGGGACACGTGGAGCCTTTCATGTTTAACGTCGTACTTTAGAAAGTCCAAGCTTTTGTTGAATTATAAGTTGTTTTAATTGTGCAGAAGTTACCATGCCTGGTCCACTTTGAATGAGTCTGCTGCAGCACGGAGCTGTAGTTTGTATCTATGCTGAGTCTCACATGTAACACAACTGAATCAAACCAGAACCAGGCTGCACACTATCTGTCTGTAGTCTGGTTCTGCATGAAAGCTGGTGTTCCCACCCGGCAACATCAGCGCCTGGCTTGGGTAAACTTAGTGTCTCCTGGTTGTTAAAGATATAACATAACAAATCAATCCAATCAAGTTGACTTTATTTAAGACACATGTGTCCTAATCAGATAGCAATTCAAAAAAATGAATGTAACTAGTAAAACAATACATATATGCTTATTGCAGTTCACAATTCCACAGTTGTTAAAATCCAAACTCAAATGTGTGTCACTTTTTGTAGACTCAGGTTGACATCAATCGACACATTTGTACATATAAAATACCTCATAATACAAAGTCACTAACATAACATGTTCATTTTTGGAGTTTGAGCGAGATTGTTATTGTATTGTCATTAAATACCACCTAGAGGTGTTTGCTATCTATAACTGCAACACAAGTGGGTGGGCTGTAAAGAGTTAAGTACAGTAGGATTTAAGGATTTTGAATGTTGTACAGGTTGACCTCAGACCCTCTAGGGAAAGAAAATGTTATGCAATATAAGGTGCAAACTGAAACCCTGGGGGTGGCTACTAGGCAACCCACCTGTTGAAAAATATTGTATATCATCATGAAACACATTATTACATTTAATGGGCCAGCATATTGGCTAACAGTTTTCCAAAGGTAGCCCTAGCCTGTGTTGGAAATCTGAATTGATCTGACATGCCTAAATTGCCCTCACTGATTGTTGTCGTGTTATACATGCTCCTACTTCGATATCATTTGTAGATTTATCAATAGACCTTGGCAGATTGTAACTTCTCAATATTCTACTCTGTGTATATTTGAATAGTTTAGTAATATTGTATGGAATCATGAGTATGCCTTAAGCCAGCGGTTTTCAAAGTGTGAGGCGTGCCAGAGAGCTTCAGGAAAGGCGCAGCGTGAGAAAGAAATAACAAGAAACAGTGACATCTAGCTGGTTAACTTCAGCTAACTTTATGCGAGCGGCAACGTGGATCGATTCGAGACAGCGTCTGGCAGAAAACGGAGGAAGTATGACCGAGATTATTTGAAGCTAGGATTTTCATAGACCGGTCCTGGCAGGGGCGGACTGGCCATCTGTGTGTTCTGGAGAATCACAGAACGGCCGGTCGTCAGCGGCCCGGCTCGGTTCGCTGACGGCCGGCACCGCCCTTTATTTTAATTTTTAATAATGCTTACTTTGATCAAAAGCAAGTACCGGTCAAGGCTGCAGCCAGAGGATGATCTGCGTTTATTCTTGTCGGCATTGCATCATCCGCCTGTGCGCATCAAAGACGCAGACTCATTGTTCCCACTAAAGTAGGGGTGAGTGTAATAAGGAGGCAAAGTTGATGTTCAGTGTGTTGCCGGGAGCATATAAGGATTTATCCACGATGTTGAAAAAGTAAAAAAAAAAAAAGTTTAAAACATAAAGGTAAAAAGTTGTTGTTTAAGGAGGTGACGCTACTCAGCCCATCAAATCGGTGCAGTCAGTGAGTCAGCACGATAGATTCAAACACAGAAGAGAGAAACATTCGGAGTAATTTCAAATGGCGTGCTCAAAAAAGAGAAAGGTAGACAGTGAGGCCCCGGCTCCACGGGGACGAAAACGGGTTGAATCCGCATATTTCTCATGCGTATAGCCCTCTAAGCTCGACGACGCCGTAAGGGAAACGTAGAAACAGACCCCGCAAACGACAAAGGGTCCAAAGGTGGATAGATCTGGGAACGGAGCGCTCTGGGGGGTCCAACGGGGCCGTGGAGTCGCCTATACGGTCATCCGTTTCATAGCCCCGCCTCTCCCCCGCAGGGTTGCTATCGTGCTCCAGTCGCTACTGACCATGCTACAGTTCTTTGTGCAACATCTACAGGAGCTCCTCCTTGAATTCAGATTATTTATCTTTATCTCGATATGGACATAAACGCGAGTGAAGTCTAATCTGACAGGACGGAGACACGCAGCTCCTGCCGCTGTGATGCAGCGGGAGCAAAACACACACTTCAAGTCAGATCATCACCCTTAGCTATTTTAATTACCTCTCAAACTACCTAAACTAGTTATAAATATGTTCATTTTTACTGTCGGGTCACTCATTACAGGATCAGCTGCTGCATGAGACAGACACTGACGCTGTCAGAAGAGAGGAAAAAGAGACAGGCTCCGTGTATTTGATGATTATATATCATTATATCGTCGTTATTCATTTGTTTTAAAGCTCAATAAATAACAAAGAAGACCTTTGACCGGCACTTTTATAATTTTGTCCGGAAGATTTAAACTAACACACGCTGACCGGCGAAAAACTCTGCCCGGTTCTGTCGGCCCCCACCGCGGAGAATACACAGAAGTGCAGCCATGACAACCATTCTTCTTCGCTGCTTTTGTGGAGGAAGTTGCTGCTTTTGTGGAGGAAGTTACAGCGCCACGTACAGGTTCGGCATATGTACTGCAGCTTTTCCAGCGTTTGGATGTAAACGGAGCCGTCTCGTGGAGCTTGACACAATCCGGTGTATATTGCGTGGGGACGGAAGGTTTTTTGCGGTTGCATTTGCGTTACTCCGATGCGTTTTGCCGTATTTGTCCTCGTGGAGCCGGGGCCTGAAAACAGAGCATTTAATGACATTTTCTCTTACTGGACCCTTTTGAAATGCAATTGAATACCCCTGCATTATAGCAACAATAATAATTGGGAGGGGGGGCGCTGCTGTTATGTTCTCTGAGGGGAGGCTCACCTTCCCACACTTTGAAAACCCCTGCCTTATGATATTTCTTTAAAACACTCCTTTGTATTTCAAATCTCAATATAAGCGATAATACATTATTCATTTGTCCACAGCAGTCAAAGAGTTTGCTGCTTAGCTACAGGGAACTTGAAAAATGTTTTCAGTGAAAGGAGATTACATCTATTTTTCTCTGTGTCCTTGATGGCTTTCACTCACAGAAGCCGCCTTTCACAACCTAGTCGAATAGGCTTCATACTCTGAATGCTGCAGAACTCAAGTTGTTCTCAGGTAAACCAAGGCTGCACCGATGTATAGTGTAAAAAGCACTAAATGATCGGCATGCAACCCCTATCTGCCCACACTGCACGGTGTGAAAAAGGCAGAGCGCATTCACCTAGCTTGTATTGTTGACAAGTCAATGTCCGTCACTCTTCCATCTCCACCATATACTGAGAGTGCGTTTTGCCTTCATCTCACTCATTTGTTGGACTGACTGCTGGAGGGAACGCTGCAATCATGCAGTCTAATACAAGAAGTCGCCTTTTTGAGTTCTTAGCGCTTGGCTTGGTGAGTTTGTTCTGCGAGAAGGAGCTGGCATGCTAATTGTTGTTCCCTCTTTTTGTAGGACTAAAGTAAAGGGATTTCATAACTAGGAAAAATATTGTTTTTTTATGGTGCAGAGCTGCTGATTATGAGTATGCTATGTTGTTTTCTTGTACTTGAAAATGTGATGTACAAAATTGGTTTGGATTAATTATTAAAACCACAAATGATGTGCTCCTAATTAGTGGACTGCCCTTTCCACATTGTAATATATCATAGCAAATGGGGCTGAGAATCACCAGAGGCAACACAAAGAATTTGTTACAATAATTAGGTCACAGTACAATATTATAACCATTTTTGAGTAATGTAATAACATTGTTTCCCATTTCCAAAATGTATCTGGATATCGTCATTCATAGGGCAATCATAATCATTTGCAAATAATGTTCAATCATTTTCACATTCTTCTTTGCTGGAACAGGTGTGTTCTGAAGTCAACTTAACATAAAATTATAACTTTAACAACCAGCCAATATCATAATAGTTGTGGATTTATTACTCTACCACATCGGCTTGAACTGAAACTGGCATAACAAGGAAATCTGAGTGTGAGAGTGCTACACTAGTGTACTTTCCTAGAACGCTTACAGAAGATCATCTAGGGCAGGGGTCACCAACCTTTTTTAGGATGAGGGCTACTTTCAAAAAATAAAACAAGTCGTGGGCTACTTTTACTCCTCTTTTTGTTTTTTGCAGTGTATATATTTAGCACATTTTAACATTATGATATGCTGACCTTTAACCTTTGTGTGCTATTTGGGTCTGTGGGACCTGTTTTCAGTGTTTACTAAAATAAAATGTATTCAATTTAATTATTTTAACCTGCTTTATTTGGGGGTGGACCTCACATCCTCTAGGGGGGTCCGGGGGCATGCACCCCCGGGAAGATTTTTTTTTTTTAAATCTTGAAGTTGAACGCATCAATCTGGTGCACTTTGAGCACAAAATGAATTTATGGATCCAGCTCTCAACACTCATATGAAAGGGAGCTGTATACTTCTCAACAATACAAACATCTTTAGAATATGATCACAACCAATAACAAATCATTTAAACTTGATTATTCTTATCTTATGTTACCTAGTTAGCATTCTTTCTTTCTATTTATGCATATTTTACTAATCACTCTCCTTTTAAACAGTTTTTTTTTACTGTCCTATAGTACACATTGGAATGATTTCTTACTTTATCTATATTAAATAGATAAAGGTGTGCTCTCTCTCCCTCTCTGTCTCGCTCGCTCACAGAGGCTGTGTGCTCCTCCGTGGCGATGACGGCTTGCGTTAAAAAATAATAATAAATATATTTGTAAAGTGGGGGGACACAAACGGGATTTCGAAAAGTGGGGGGGACCTGTCCCCAGTGGAAATTACGCCATGCGTGTGTGTGTGTGCACACAGAGTAAAACTCTGGCCCTCATGTGCTGGATAGGCTGGCACGACTAGGCTGTTCAATGGGGCTGATGTGTTGTGTAGATTCTGCCAGAAGGAAAATCACAGTCGCACTCCTTATGAAGCGGGGATCTGCCGCTCCACATTGCTTTTCTTCCCGACTGCAATGCTGGTCCCGCAAATCAAGCAAGAACGTGATTGGTCGATATTCATTGTGAGGGAGGAGGGGTGTTAGATAGATATAGAGTTGTAGTACGTAGATAGAGTTCGCTATGAATGTGGTTTCGTTTATGCATAGGGTAGATTCTTTTAATTACATTTCCTTTTTTGTTTTGTGTATTTTTTACATTTTGGATTTACTTGGCGAGCTATTTTTAGAACATGCCCCGCGGGCGACTAAGTGCCCGCGGGCACCGTGTTGGCCAACCCTGATCTAGGGTAGGGCTGTGCAATTAATCGTTTTTTAATCGCAATTACGATTTTGGCCTGCCACAATTACAAAAACAAAATAATCGAAAAAAATGATTATTTTGCTTTGCTAGGTTCACTGCAACATATTTGATCTAATTTATTTTATAGTCTAATTTATTTATCATATTTATATATGTTTAGTAGCTTGTTGAAGTGCGCTCCAAAATATTTGTTGATCTTTTTTATTGGTATTTATTATTTTGATATTATTTATTTAAATGTATCATTTATTTTATTTATTGGTTTTTCAGTTGAATTATACGTTCAGGGTAATCAACAGTTAAACAGATACTGTTCAAATTATTATTTTAATTTGTTTTAAAGTTCAATAAATTGATGTTTTCAAAGTCAATGAATAATCGTATTTAATAATCGTGATATCAATTATTGACCAAAATAATCGTGATTATGATTTTTGCCATAATCGCACAGCCCTAATCTAGGGTATGTTGGTGTATAGATCGGGTTCCTGTAGCCTGAATGAACCGTGGAAAGAAATAAGATGATTTGACATCGGCAAGAAAGTCAGCTTTATTGTCAATCTTTGTGTGTGAATTAATGCAGGTATTGAATTATCTCTTAACACCAGACTTTTTTCAGAAGTTTTTTTGAGCAAAAGACCATAATTGTTCCTATATTTTCTATGCAGAGACCGGGCATGCCCCCATCCAATCGCATGACCCCACAGGGGCCGGCCATGGGGCCCCCAGGATACGGCAACAGCCCCGTGTCTCGCCCCGTGATGCCCGGCGTGATGGACCCCTCCCGCAAGAGGCCCGCGCCCCAACAGATCCAGCAGGTTCAGCAGCAGAACCGCAACCAGCAGTAAGTGCCCCCCCCTCATATGGAAGATCAATATTCAGAGCTAGCCTTTAATTATGGGTAGTGTTGTATTAACAGTCATCTGTAGTAGAGGCATTGGGATTTCAGCTTGTGGAGAAAATGTTGTTTTTATTGTGATCTATAGTTTTTCCCGCCCTGCAGCTACACACTGCCTCAGATTACTCCTTCCTGTTTCCTATTGTTGTTAAATTACTGTCATTCCTAACCGTGGTTGAAAAAAATGTACACATGTAACCTTTCGTAATGGAAAAAGCTAGTTTACTAAAGAAATGCTTTTAGTTTCCCCACTATTACTGATAGATGCAAACTGAAAATACTTTGGGGCTTTATACAGTGGGAACTAACAGAGGATTACATTGCTATTGATCGCGTCTGTTTTCTTATACAAACTGGATTCATGGAACACCAGTTTTGAGCTGAAACGATTGATCAGAGAGTGAAAAACCAGTAGGGATGCTCCGATCGCCAATTTTGGGGCCGATCGCCAGAATTATTATCGGCCGATCCGATCGAGTGGGGATCTTCCATTTAAAGTGATGTTTACAACTCAGTTAATGGGGCTCATTCACTGGCGCTTCCACAAACAACAACCAACATAATTATTACATTCAAATGAAGTACATTATTCAAGTTTACATTAACTTTGGATAATAACACGGGAGAAATGAGCGGGAGTGCTCTCTTTTCCTCTCCCCCCCCCTCTCTCTCTCTCTCCTGACAGCCTGTCAGTATCGTCTCATGCAGCTCACTGATCCAGTAATGCGTGACCCGACAGTGAAGAATAAATATATTTATAACTAGTTTAGCTTGTTCCAGAGGTAGATAAAATAGCTAAGTGTGTTAGGTCTAACTCTTAATGTGTGTTCTGCTCCGCTCACCGGTCCGTCACAGCGGATGGAGCTGCAGGATTTCTGCTCACACACGTTGCATACCGCTATTTTATTGTCATTTTCGGACACCGAAAATACTGCCAGTGTTCGTAGGCGGGCGGCGTAGCTGACGTAAAAGTCGGGGCGCCTTCGGTGCGCGTTCTTTGGTCTCAGATGGGTGTGTAGCGGCCTTTACCCTTAAAACAAGCTCAGGGCTCGAGCTTAAGGACGTCCCGGGGCCAAAAAAAATAGGGTCGGGGAGGATAACAAATGATTTTGGGACGAGAGTTAAAATAAAAATACCCTGCTAACTCTACTACGAACGGTGATGAAACTGACTGCACGTGTTGTGTAGCACACAGTTATTAAACCTCCTTGTCAACATAAACACACGCACAAAACATTTAGCAACCTGCGAAATACACACACACACACACACAGCTGTGCCCGCAAATTCCTGGGTCTAGCTATGTACTGAGTGTGTGTATTTTGCGGGTTGAGTGATGTACAATGACATGCCGTGGAGGAATTCTGCAATTTTCTACCGTTACATCACGAAAACGCACAGCAGAACCAGACCCTGGAGCGCCGGCCTCTTTATTTACTTACCCCTCTTTATCCCCTATGGGTAATAAGGCTGAGATGAGAACTCTCCATCGTATTTAGTCCTTAGCAATATGCTGCGCCTCTCCCCATGTATGGGTACCGAGCCCCGGTATTAAACGGAATTATTAAAGACCGTGGTACTGTTAAGCTCCGACGTTATCTGACTTTATTGGCACTGGAGACATTTAAAAAAAATATTTCATATGTATTATTGCTACATAAACATTATATTGCAGTTTTAGTTTCGCCAACTCCGTTTCTAATATGCAATAAGACTACAAAATGCGTCTATGATGTATTTTCGATCTTATTTTCGATCTTTCCAATCCAGACGAGAGAGCTCTCCCCCGTCTGTGTGCGAGGGGTCGGGGCAGTTTGTAAAGGTCTCCTGACTGTGTTACAGACTGTCATCCTGGTTAGTGGTTACTCTGGGTTCTGTCTTCAGGACAGAGTGTTGGATTTTTTTGTTAATTGGATGGGACTTGATTGGATTCAATATGAGAGTAACTTTCTCGTTTGTGTGTTTTTTTTAAATATATTTGGCCTTTGTTTATGTGTTTGACTGATTTACTCAAATCAAAAGGTTGATGAATTATCATCTAATGATTTGTATGATGTTTTATTTATGTTAAAGGTCACTTTGAATGATTTTAACTAATGATAATGTAGAAAAACGAATATTTTAAATTCGGGACGGTCCACATTAATTTCGGGACGGCTTAGATTGTATTTCGGGACGGTTCCGGGAGGATGGTGAAAAAAGTTAGTCGAGAGCCCTGAAGCTGTTTAAATACATACAGTAAGTTAAACTTTTGAAAATGTTGCCAGACCTTTACGCTATTTCTAACATTGCATTGAGCAAACAATTTGTAGATCAATTGAGAAAATAAGTATAATCGATAAATGAAATGTATGTAACAGACAGAAAATACAAGTGAAAATGTATAATAAGCATGGAATACACAAAATAATTGTTTTCATATATGACATTTGAGCCTGCGACTATGATTATAATAACTGGCTAACATTGCTAAATTTGTATTTTATTTTTTTTTGTCAATTTATTGAACATGTCAGAAACAAAACATACAACAATAATAATAATAATAATAATATATATATATCATTTTCCTTCTTGTTTTTTCTCACTCATAGAGTGGCGAAGTCCCTCCCACTTACTTCCGCCCCATGGGACCTTATTTCGGAAAAATTATGCATTGAAGTCAATGGGGAGAGAAAACTTATCTTTCGATCCCGTTTGAATTGTGCCATGAATTACACATATGATGTTTGTCAATCTTAAAAAATCATTTCCATGTCAAAAAAGTCACAGTTTGTCGTAAAACTGTTGAAATATAAGACTGAAAAATACGTAACTAGAAAGACTACAAATCCCAGAGTCGCGTAAGTGATGTCACAATTGTTTACCTCCACCATTCAGATACCTAAGATCAGCGCAATATAGATATAATCTATCTATATGGCGCTGGCTAAGATAAGATAACTTTAACAAGATGCCTGTGTGCTTAGTACCAGGTTGTTATTATACCAGCAATGGGTCTTGCTCGTTCTTTTGCTTCCCGTCTGATGAAACGACCAGGAGTGGCTTGATCAAGTTAGCTACCTAGCTAGTAGCTAGCACGTTAGTTAGCATTACAGCCTTGTCATTTTTATTAGCCTTAACATTAAGTAACATTAAGTAACCCAAAATGTTAAACAGTAAGAGTAGTAGTCATATTTCGTGAACCCTTTGAATAGTACTGTCACCGGTGTGATCATTCTATAATACACCATTTAATTCCGGGGGAGAAATGCTAACGCTAACGTTAGCATCGGCGATCTTTTCTACTTCATGCTATCTGCACAAATGGTTGACATTAAACATTAAAACGACCAGGCAGTTCAGAGAGAATCAAAGGAAGGCAGGCAGGCAGCTTTGCATGACATTCTTCAGGACGCGTTTCATTGTGGTGATAGTCAATCGTTTGTTGACAAGACAGTAGTGACGGCCATCTTGGTGACGTGTGTGGTTGACCAGAGATGTAGTTCATTTAGCGTTTCACACAAACAAATGTGTTACTTCACAGTTTTACGACACATTTTTTTTTTTTTTGACTTGCAAAATTATCTTTTAAATTGACAAACATCATATGTGTAATTCGTGGCACAATTCAAACGGGATCGAAAGATAATCTTTCTCTCTCCATTGACTTCAATGCATAACCTTTCCGAAATAAGGTCCCATGGGGCTCAACCGGAAGGGGAGGGACTTCGCCACTCTATAATAATTATAACAAAGTACAAAAAAAAAAAAAAATCTCAAATAGTAGGGCTGTGCAATTATGGCAAAAATCATAATCACGATTATTTGGGTCAATAATTGATATCACGATTAATAAATACGATTATTAATTGACTTTGAAAAAATCAATTTATTGAACTTTAAAACAAATACAAATAATAATTTGAACAGTATCTTTTTAACTGTTGATTACCCTGAACGTATAATTCAACTGAAAAACCAATAAATAAAATAAATGATACATTTAAATAAATATCAAAATAATAAATACCAATAAACAAGATCAACAAATATTTTGGAGTGCACTTCCACAAGCTACTAAACATATATAAATACAAATAAATTAGACCAAAATTAATTAGATCAAATATGTTGTAGTGCATAACCAAGCAAAGCAAAATAATTGGTTTTTCCGATTATGTTGTTTTTGTAATTGTGGCGGGCCAAAATCGTAATTGCGATTAAAATACGATTAATTGCACAGCCCTATCAAATAGTCTCTGTCATGTTCAACAGGGGCAAGACGAAGCTTAAAAAAAACTTTTCTGGTCCTACCACCTCTAGCATACATTTCCCTTATAAATAAAATATTATGTCATCGTCATCAGCGATATGTTTGTCTTGTTAATTTGTTTGTTTTTTGTTTTTTTACAAAACAATCAGAAATAAATTACTTTTACAATTACAAGAAATAACAAATGGGATTTTACAGGTCCTGTTCATAACCATTAATGATTTGGCTCCTAAATAATACTTTCAGTTTAGATAGACTTGGACAACATTTCAGTGCATCAGTACAGTTATTCCACAGACTAACACCTTTTGATGAGATGCAATGAAGTTTGGCATTTGTTCGTACGGCTGGTTTTTTGAAAATGCAGTTTCCTCTCAACATGTGCATGCTTTCTCTCCGTGTGAAAAGTCCCTGGATATTATGAGGTAATTGTTGATTTGCGGCTTTGAACATAATTTGAATAGTTTTATAGTCAACCAGGTCTTGTAGTTTTAGTGTTTTTAGTTGGATAAATAATTTATTTGTTGGTTCTCTGTACGTAGTTTTATGTATAACTCGTATGGCTCTTTTTTGCAGGATGAAGATAGGATGTGTATTTGTTTTATGTGTTCCCCCAAACTTCCACACAATACATCATGTATGGAAGTATGAAGCACTGGAGCTGGTCACTGTATCCTGTTAGATTGAGGACTGAATCATTGTGATTATGTTAATGCCGTGTTGCTCTGTCTCGCACTCATCTTGTTTCTATAATGTGTTTTTACAGCACAAAGAAGAAGAAGATGGCTGATAAAATTCTACCTCAGAGGGTGAGCATTAATCAAACAGCAGTCCCTGACAATCCATTAATTCCTGCCTTCATTGTGTTTCAGAGATAACATTTGCTTTTCAATTTTTGTTTAAGTGGCTCGAAATAAAGGACTGTTGTTTTTTTAAGGCCCTTTTTAGAGAACTACAATTCAGAGAGGACCAGCTGTATGCATGGGATTACTCATTCCACATCTGAGGCTTTTCCCCCATGTGATGGTTTCCAAGATGCATTAGAATAAAACATCCTTATGTTCATTTAGGATTAGTTTCTTGTACTTCCCTCTAACATTTGAGTTCTATAAGCCCATATTACCTTTCTGGTTGTTGATGTAAGCTATATGTTTTTATTGTATAGAAATGACTATAGGTTATATTATATTAAGCATATTCTTTTTTATGTTTTTCACCCAAATGATTATTGAATTGAAACTGCAAGCTCTCCAATTCATGAATTATGGCATGATAAATATATTTATCTTATACATCCTTATCAACCCGATAATTGATGTAGTCACTTCATTATACATATTTATACAGCTACATATTTAAGTGGTTTCATCTTTGTGTTTGTATTTTAGTTACAGAGCAACTGCAGTTGTTTCCAATACAAACATTTTGAATATCTTCAGAGTTGTAAAGTCCACAAGTCAAAGTGTATTATAAAAAAGATACTTTTATTATTTAATCTTACAAAATATTGTGCTTCAAAAAATAAATGTTGTTGCATTTAACCTTTCACAAAACATTTGTCACTGCTGAACTTTCCTCACACAAAGGGAGGCAGGCATGTGTATTAACCTTTTATATATACAGTCTATGGTATTAACAAGGAGGTCTAACAGCAGCATGAATAACGTTTTTATAACCACAATAACAAAATCCTCAATATTACCTTTGAATGTAATGAAAGACCTTCAAAATCAGAAATAGTTCTGAAAAAGCACTTTGTGGAGATGGAACATGAACTGACGGTATGTTCCTCTGAGAGTGCTGCGTTGTTTGATGTTGCTCACCAGTACCTGTGTTGTGTCCCAGATCAGGGAACTGGTCCCAGAGTCTCAGGCTTACATGGATCTGCTGGCTTTCGAGAGGAAGCTGGATCAGACCATCATGCGCAAGAGGCTGGACATTCAGGAAGCCCTGAAGAGGCCCATAAAGGTACCATTCAATTCAAGTTCTTTACTCCTGAAGTCCCTAAATCACTCCGGTTCAGACCTCAAATTAATTTCAAAGCCCAGAGGACTCCACCCGTCACTATAAGTGGACATTTATAAGTAATAATTCAATAAAGGCTTGTAAAAATGTCTACAGCACTATGAGTCCACGGGTTGACATGAAATGAAGATTGTTGGTTTAACAGACTCTTTTTATGAGGCAGCAGTCAAGAGGGTGATGATAAATAGTGAGGTGCCTGGCAGATATGTACTTTTCATTAGTTCAAAGTAGTGATTTTACAATACCAGAAATTAAATAGGCAATACTGCAAGCAGTGGAATTTTCAGTACCCAATTTGAACCGGGGTAAAAAACTAAAAGAAAACAATAAATCCTGTGAAGTCTACTCCAACATACACTCCTTTGTATATATTCTGTTTTTGTTAGGATGTTAATCAGGTCATAATTCCCTCTAATATGTACAGGGTGCGTACGGGTGCTGGAAATCCTTGAAAATGCTTGAAATTGTACGAGGTGTTTTCAAGGTTTGAAAAGTGCTTGAATTTTGGGAATGGTGCTTGAATTTGGGATAAAGTGCTTGAAATTGTAAATGCTTTACTTCGCTTTTTAGATTAAAAGAAAATAAAGAAGTCGGAGCGCGCTTAATTGCTTCGCTTTTACATAAAACAGCTCCGCTCCGGCCTTCCCGCGCTATGCGCGTGACCGGCAAGTGTTTTTGTTACGTGTGTGACCTGGGCATTCTGATGAGAGTGATAGATGACAGTATGCCAGGAGGTTGCCGTTTCAACGAGTGTTGGCTAGCAGAAGACAAATACAAGCCATGGCTAAGACGAGGGTCAAGCGAAGCCCAAGAGTAGCCTCCTGCAAAGTGTGCAACAATAACGATGCGAGAGTCTGCGCTGATGAGCAACACACCACACGAAAGGTACGCCATAGTAGAGCATTTTAGATTAGGCTATCGTTGCATGTAAAATACATGACACTTTTCTCTGTGCGCGGCAAAACAAGCTCGCCAAAATGGCTTCACTAGTCTGGCAGTATTTTAAGTGTCCGAAAATGACAATAAAATAGCGGTATGCAACGTGTGTGTGAAGCAGAAATCCTGCAGCTCCACCCGCTGTGACGGACCGGTGAGCGGAGCAGAACACACACTAAGAGTTAGACCTAACACACTTAGCTATTTTATCTACCTCTGGAACAAGCTAAACTAGTTATAAATATATTTATTCTTCACTGTCGGGTCACTCATTACTGGATCAGTGAGCTGCAGGAGATACTGACGGGCTGTCAGGAGAGAGAGAGGGGGAGAGAGCGATATCGGTATCGGCCGATACTGATTCCGGCGATCGGCTCCAAAATTGGCGATCGGAGCATCCCTAATAATTGTATATGATATGTTTTATAATGATTGATCATGAAAGTGTTCTCAAAGCTGGTAAAGTTGCAGCTAGTTTGAATGAATTTGTATACTACAGAGTAGCTTGTGAATTTACTCCAGGTGGAACTAAAGTCTGATTTAACACTTGATTATATTTCACATCATTCATCCACATCTGTAAAGTAACTAAAGGTATTAAATACATGTAGTGGAGTCAAAGTACACCATTTACCTCTGACTTGTGTTTACTGCCAACCTAAAAGTACCTCAAAAATAGTAATCAATAATATATTGAAAAGTTATTTGGCTGATTGTTTTATATTGGCTCAGCCAGGTTATATGGGATGCCCAGTCTACGTACAGATGGGTCACACATTTTGAAATATTAAACTTAGTTTTCTTTTCTAACATTTTTAATTTTTCATCCTCATGTAGAATGCTATTATGAAACACACATTTGGTTGTTTATAGCATAAAGAACATCTGATTTAATGTGAGGTAGGGAAATAATCATTTGAGTTTAAGTATGTGTATATAAATATGTAATTTACAACAGCTGTAAGATGCTTGAAATGCTTGAATTTGACTTTGGAAAAGGTGTAAGAACCCTGTATGTAGTTTATATAACTGTGATAACATCTACTTGACATTTCTCAACAAAAGTACATCTAATAAGATTACATGTGTTAGTTCTGAGTCCTATGCAACCTAGTGAACCTGTGGTAAAGTATAAAGTGCCATCATATTTACAAAATGATGGCATTAATTGGTACAGAAAAATCTGTTCTTGTGACATCAATGGATGAAATTTGTCAATGAAATGTGTCTGGCGTTGAGCTTCAAAACATTGATCCTAATTTAATCTACACGCTGTCACAGCTGGGAAACTTTATTTTCCCCTTGAGTCAGATGTACCTAATCAAATGAATCAAAACTATACTTGTGATATACTTATGAGTCTGCACATCAAGTCTGTGTTGATTTAAATGACGAGAGAAAACAAGAACATACATTTATAGTTTATTTAATGTTTTTTTTTCCAGCAAAAGAGAAAGCTTCGGATCTTCATATCCAACACCTTCAACCCGGCAAAGCCTGATGCAGAGGATGGAGAGGGCACAGTTGCATCATGGGAGCTGCGTGTTGAGGGGCGTCTGCTGGAAGATGTAAGCTTTGTGAATGAAATATATTGCTTTATGTGAAGTTTTTCTGTGTGTAAAGTATTTCTCTAATTATAGCCAAACACTTACAAATGTATTCCAGAAAGCTGCTTTTGAACTAACCACATCTTAAATGTCTTTGTTGAATAACATTAAGCTTAAACCGTGAAACATTTGAGGTTTGAAAAACATGACAGTGTTTTCTATACAGATTTTGTGTTGCTTTGATTAATATTTCCAATAACGGTAACGTTTGCTCTGCAGTCGGCTGTGTCCAAGTATGAGGCCACCAAACAGAAGAGGAAGTTCTCCTCTTTCTTCAAGTCTCTGGTGATCGAGCTGGACAAAGACCTGTACGGCCCTGACAATCACCTGGTGGAGGTAAGATTATTCATATGCATCTCTATATACACATCTGCCAATAGTCACCCACAATTCTCTTCAGGGACTATATATTGTAGTGGATGATGGATTTAGTTTGTCTTTTTGTAAAGTCCCCATTTCCCATCATTGTAATGGTAGTGAATAGGTGTTTGTTTGTTGGTTGAGCGACAATTGAAAGGTTGCTATATATAATGTTTATAGGGTTATCATTATATACTATTGTGTGATTGTAGTGGCACAGGACTGCCACCACCCAGGAGACTGATGGTTTCCAGGTGAAGAGACCCGGTGATGTGGGGGTCCGCTGCACCGTCCTGCTGATGCTGGACTACCAGGTAAACACTGCTCAGGGGTTTCACTACTCAGGGGGTCCTGTGGTTTGCTAATGTTGCCTCTTTTGCTCTTTAACCTGTTAAGCCCCATGCCCCCGCAGGATTTTTTTTTTTACGAAACTGTGTCTCAGGGCTTCTTAACATTTATGAAACTATTAATGTTCCATACTCACTTAACGGGAAGAAACTCAGCTAACTGACGATACGAACCATTTTTACCGAAACAAAACACAAGTCTCACAAGAAGAGTCTAAATGAGCCCTGAGCGGAAAAATGCTATCGCACTTAGCACAGAACTCACAGCTTAAATACCCTTGTTACTTATCGTATCTGCACAAACAAGATATTGATTAACAAACTGAGATTCCACAGATTCCAGAAATATTAGTATCATCACTGAGCGAACAGAACTCGCGACAGGGGAAGCAAACACAGACATCACAACACATAGCTTCACGGAGGAAGCTTCTTACCTTAGCTGTTGTTCTGATCAAAAGTCGTGTTCAATGGCATTAAAACAATAAAAACGCTGCTGAAGGTGAATCCAATGGTTAATCCAATGGTTAATCCAATATGTCTGTCACTTTGAAATGATTACTGATAATCCATCTTAATATTTACTAGTTTGAGCCTAGGTTTCAGTTTTCAGAGCATAACATAGCTTTCGACTTGCTGCCCGTAACTCTCACTCCTCAATGGTAACGTGTGTGTATGTGGAAATTCCCCTTCGATTCTATTGGCTCTAACGGTTCAAAAGAGGTGTCAATCACCAAGATCGACCAATGGGTTCCAGAGAAACGGCAAATGACCCCAAAGGTGTTTTTTTTTGTTGCTAAACCTCTCTAAAAAGATCAAATGTCACTTGTTTTGCATCAATCTTTTCACAGGGTTCTTATTATATGTTATAGTTTGGATTCCTAAAGCTTTTAGTCTACTATCCCATCATTCAAGGGTGGTTTTCACTATAAATAATGTTGTTTTCTTTGGACGGACACTATTATTTACATTTTTTTTACCATGTTCAATCTGAATTTACTTTAAAATGAAACAATTCTATATTGATTTTGACTTTTCTACATCCAACTCACAGGTTTATCATTGCTTTGAGAAAAAAGATTATTAATTTACCTCTTTTAGAAGTGAAGTTATTGTCATTTGTTGTGGGAATGTCATTTTCGAGCCTGAGACCTGAAAAACAGGCTTGGGGCTTAATAGGTTAACAGCCTTTATGAATGTATGCTGTAAAGGTTGTGGGATCATAATCGATAATATTAATTGCATCCACAGGGATAATGTCTGTAATCTGGCTTCACACTATTATCGATTAGTAGCTGATGTTGTACATTTTATAAAATACAAAAATCACACCTTTGCCAAAAGTTATGCCGTCAGCCTTAACACAGCCACAATTATTGAAAAGCCAGTTATGTTCATAGTGAAGCACAAGGGTTCATCAAAGGGACAATTAACATGTATCGCAGATAGACCTGACTTTAATCTGTAATCTCTCTGTACCCATCAGCCCCCTCAGTTCAAGCTGGACCCCCGGCTGGCTCGTATGCTGGGCATCCACACCCAGACCAGACCTGTCATCATCCAGGCTCTGTGGCAGTACGTCAAGACCCACAAGCTCCAGGACCCTCATGAGCGCGAGTTCATCAACTGTGACAAATACCTGCAGCAGGTCAGTAGCAGAACCCACCTTGAAATCTACAACTAACCCTAAAATACCCTCTGTTCTTTTAACTGGATGAAAACAAAATGTGTCCGGTTTGTTCCTGCTCCTGATGTTGAACAGTCCTTCTCTCCTGTCCTTGTATGGAGACTATTCTTTCCGGGGCACTGGCTGGTTTCCAGCTGCATTTCATTCTGTGAGACAAACAGAAAGTTGTGGACCGCTGAATTCCCACAATGTCAACATATGAAATACACTGCTTGTCAGCTTCCAGTTTCTTGTTTCTAAAACGGTGATTTGTGATGTGGTGAAGATGAAACGGGGTCATTCATTTTAAAGCTCATTTATCCCTTTTTTTTTTTTTTTTTTACTCTTGTACCCACACTATCTGTAAACATGGTGACAACAGATTCTAATACCAGAGAGACCAACACACCCCAGGATAAAAAAACAGAACGGGACAGAGGTGGCTATATATTTGTTTCCGTAAAAAATAAACATTGAGTAGATGAAGTAAGTGGCACAGTAGAAGTTAAGCTGCGGGGCTACACATAGTTGCATGGAAAATCCCACTGGCCTTTTACTTGTGAGGGTAACTTAAAAAAAAAAACATCCTCCCTGCAGCACTATATTACTTTTAATGATATTATCAAGCCTCCTAATATCCAAATTGAAATTGCTTCACAAAGTGTGTTTTAATTTTTCTGTAGATCTTTGAGACTCAGCGAATGAAGTTCTCCGAGATCCCTCAGCGCCTGCATGCCCTCCTGATGCCCCCAGAGCCAATCATCATCAACCATGTGATCAGGTAACCTCATTACAGTGATGCGTGACAGAAAAAATCACGTGCAAAATGGGGCTTTCCCCGTCTCTCATTGTCTCTGAATCTCCTGCTGCTAATGTGACATATCCAATAATCGTGGCTTGATATTGAGTAAGAACCATAGAATGTGTATATAAAGGTAAGAACATGTTTTTATGAACCACACAGCTTCCGGTCTTCCAACACCCGACTGGACAAAAAGACGCAGTTTAGATCCCCCGTAGCACAAACTCAGAATGAGTGTGAGGGGGCTGAGAGCAGGTAGGGTACATGCTGGGGCAGAGGGTGGGCGATAGCAGCCAGCGACTGTCAGTGTAGAGCTATTTGCCAGTTTAATGTTTACGATAAGTAGGTCATTGTTTGGGGACAGATTTACTAGTGGCGATAGAACACTGGAAGTGTTGCTTTGTGAATATAACTACTCCACCAGCTTTAGATGATCTGTCCTGCCTAAACACATTATAACCAGCGATGCCGATGTCAGAGTCTGGGATATTCTTCTTCAGCCAAGACTCAGTGATGACAAGTACCTCTGGATTTGAGCTGTGAACGAGTACTTTTATCTGGTCCATTTTTGGCAGTAAGCTTCTAGCATTTACATGTAGAAAACCTAAAGCTTTACGAGAGCAGAAGTCAGGGAAACTCAGATCATTGTGACAAAGATTGACATCAGGGCACAGGTCAGAACTAGGGCTACATACAATAGAAGGTCCAGGATGAACATGCACATTGCCCGATATCATCAGTAGTAATACAATCAGAGCACGGCCAAGAGATAGCAGTGAGTCACAATGTAGTTTGTTTTGTGCGCACATTGACAGTGGAATGTAACGTAATCATCTTGTGTAGAGATCTCATAATCACACATGATAGTAGTGGCGGTTCGCATTTGTTATGCGCAGGAGGGGGTAGGGAGGCAGCGAATAACGCAAGGAAAAAGCAGTACAGTTTGGGATTAGCCATTGTTAGTCCAGTGAAGGTAGGAATTAGCACTCACCCAGAGGTCAACAGTCCTTGGTTGTCCAAGTCCTTGGTTGTTTATAGCATAAAGAACATCTGATTTAATGTGAGGTAGGGAAATAATCATTTGAGTATAAGTATGTGTATATAAATATGTAATTGACAACAGCTGTAAGATGCTTGAAAAGCTTGAAAATGCACCTTGAAAATGCTTGAAAAGTGCTTGAATTTGACTTTGGAAAAGGTGTAAGAACCTGCATATCCACATGCTACTAAAACTAAATATGCTGTATTCTCTCATAGTGTGGACCCTAATGACCAAAAGAAGACGGCTTGCTACGACATTGACGTGGAAGTGGACGACACGCTGAAGACCCAGATGAACTCCTTCCTGCTGTCCACTGCCAGTCAGCAGGAAATAGCCGGACTGGACAACAAGGTACAGCAGGGGGCTTTAGGCGGATGAGTTTCATGACTTCCTGCAGTGTGTCTCTGCCTTTTTTTGTGGCGCTTTGATTTATTAAATCCCTGCTGACGATCTTGAATTCAAACAATGTCTCACAAAGAGAGGAAGGACCATTTTTTGGGTGAAGTAGTTTGAAATAGCACTTCATTTAACGCTTTGTGACAACTTCCATCTGCTGTAGCTGCGTAAAGGCCATTTCAAGCACTCTCGCTTTAAATGCAATGTGAACGGGATTTTTTTGTATTGGATCCTTTTACTATTCATCGAGCGAGTCGTTTTTTGTGCGCCTGCTGAGGGCAATTTCACACATATCTGCTCTCTTAAATTGTAGCCTTTTGAAATGCTGCCTCCTTTTAAGAGTTTTAGAGGTCAGTCAGGTCGCCTTGACCTCCTGCTAGCTGCCATTACCTTGGCTCCAATCATATCGATAAGACGAGACATTCCCCTAAAGACGGCCCTACTGTTTAGTCTTTGTTGTGTCAGCCGTGTTCTAAAGGGAGCTTGTTTATAGTTGATAGGCGCCATTCATTCTGTGACTTTATTGTGGTGACTGCATGATCAGAAACTGTTTGTCGCAAAGCCTGTTAAAGTTTCTCTCTCAATACTGTCCTGTGAAACATGCCTCAGAACTGCTGCTGTTTAACAGTTTAGAAACTGCTGATCTGAAGAATACTGGATGTAAAAGGCTTATTAAAGAAACGCCAGTTCTCCATATTTCCGTGGCAGCTATATTCCATTTATTAATCATATTTAATACCCTGTTAACCGTTTTGATTGTTAACCATTCTCTTTACTCTGTTTTTATTATCCTCAGATCCATGAAACCATTGAGACCATAAACCAGCTGAAGACCCAGAGAGAGTTCATGTTGAGTTTTGCCAGAGACCCTCAGGGCTTTATCAACGACTGGCTGCAGTCCCAGTGCCGAGACCTCAAGGTGAGTCAGTCCGTCACAGCCGGATCTGATCTGGAGCCCGGTATCTCTCCAGACACCATGTTGCTTCTGCGTCAAAACGATAAAGATGTCAATGAACTGTGCATCCCTACATGTTTTGTGTGATTTTAAATAGGAGAAGAAGTTTGAAAGATTATATATAGTTATTGTGTGAGTAATTCAGAAAAGTAAGCGTACTGCCATTTTGTGTAAATGTTGAGCAGAGAAATCCATTATTGGATAGAAAATAGTTTACCATCGTGACTATTCTTAACTATTGCTAATATTACTTTTGATCACAGTTGTTTTTGCCGACTACATTTGACCTGTAATGCATATTTTCCATTTGTAGTAACGTAATCTCTGTCTGTAGACTTGTTCTTTATTTGAATTGAAGGTCTCTCAATAGAAGATGTCATGTGCTATACAGATTTATAAAGCCCAATAAACAAAATTCTTTTTTTGGGACGTATAAATGTGCATGACTCTGTCTGTAAAACCCATTCAGACGCAGCAACTATAACAAAACATTGAGGAATGTAAATAAAACGCGCCTACTTGACAGCTAATGTCGGATATAAAATGTCAAGGTTCAGAAAAAGGAACATCAAAACAACAATTACACACATACCCTCTGGTTTGACAAGCTCCGTAGCTTCCTGAGGTCATGTTTGAGGTTAATCATTGGAGACTTTGCCTACATTCAATTCACAAATTAAAACCAAAGAGGACTTGATTACATTAGTACGAGGACATTGCTCACTCGTGTGTAACACAGGAGTCAAAATGGAGCGTGAAACATTTAATAACATGTCCGACTCAATTCACGTTCACCTCCACCGTCCGCTGAGTGAGCCAATTGCCTGCTGACCAGCTGTCGCCCTCCTGCAGTGTGTGTTCAGCCCCGTGGCTGCTCTCACAGTCACTGTCTAACAAATCTACACAAATAACCGTTTTTCTTGTGACGACATGTTTGTCATAGCTGCGTCAGTGTTTGATGGATGTTGTTTATCCTTTCATGATCCGGGGGTATTGCATTTCTCACCAGCAGGACCAGTCGAGGTTGAGTTTTGTGTAAACGTGTCTTTCTCTGTTCACAGACCATGACCGATGTGGTCGGAAACCCAGAAGAAGAGCGGAGAGCCGACTTTTACTACCAGCCGTGGGCTCAGGAGGCCGTGTGCCGCTACTTCTACTCCAAGGTAATCCAAATGATTCCCACTCCTATGTTTTGTCTTTTCTTTTTTAACACTTATTTACTTAATCATCTCAACAGCTACTTGATGAATTGTTCTGAAATTGTGTGCAGAAATGTAGGTTTCCCTGAGTTTGTGTCGTATGTACAAATGTAATGACACTAGTATTGTTAGCTGTTTTTGATCAGATAGCAAGAGCTACAGATGTTTACATGTCAGGCAATTCTGTACATTTTTCTAATAAATTAATCTGCTGATTAGTTGTTTTATCTTCCGATATCTTTTTATTGTTCTTTCTAATAACATTTCTGAGAATAGTAATACATGTCAATAGTTATCAGAGTTTACTATAGCTATTTCCTATACACGTTTAAATCTGTAGTGTATATGCTCCACAAAATAAATAGGAAAACAATGAAGCAATCAAAATGGTTGACTTTTAGCACACTAACACACTGTTGAATAATGTCAGCATTACATCTTAACACCAGTTCTGTAGCATGGCTGTAAACTCTTGCTTTATCATGTTTATTGAATGTCCCCTCAGTGCTTTGTGTCCTGGTGATTAAATGTTTCCTCGTGTCTCTCAGGTCCAGCAGAGGAGACAGGAGCTGGAGACGGCGCTCGGCATCAGGAACACCTAAACAAACGTTTCCATGGGGGACATCTAATGTGTGAGCGCACGTGGGATAATAAAAACAAATTCCTCCCAGAGTTTTCTGGCATAGATAGTAGTTGGCTTTACCGTTATATAGGATGTCTGTTTTTCTTTTTTGTTTACTCTTCACCCTGCAGCACGACTTCTGTTGCGCTCTTTTTGCTACTTCCACTTTTTTGTAATTTTTTCTTTTTCTCTCCTCACACCAGAGTTCCTGGAGCACAATATATTTTGCATGTCTCAGCCTTACCTTGAAGCATTCCTTTCATTTTGATACGTTGTGCCCGCACACAACAGTACAGATTGTACACAAACGAAAAAGCAGAGGGCGACTTTGATGTATGTTGGCCCTGATTCTAAAATGACCCTAAATCAGATGGAGATGAAAAGTAAACTAACATTTGACACTCCCTGGCCCATTCAGTTAGATATTGGTTGTGATTGTGTTTGTAATCATTTGAGCTGCTTTGCTGCTCATTGGCTGTCCATGTGTCCTTTTTCTTAAGCTCTCATTGGTTGGTTTTGTGCCGCAGTCTGGTGTATGAGAGACGTTTAAAGCTAAATCATGGAAGAATATACAACTTTTGTAAAGGGTGCCATTTAGTATGAAGTTCTCCTTTTTTTTCCTTTTTTTGTTATCAATGATTCTTGTTTTTAAATATGTATTATTATATCAGTACGTGTCTTGTTATCTAGTACAGATTATCAAGGAAGTAGCTAGTATGAGTACCTCTAGTCTATATAGTTTTGTAAATACTGAGCAGTAAAAAAAACTGAAGATGGATGTGAAGTATAAATGTATCTCTAATCCTGCAGATGTTTTTCTTAACTCTTTGTCTACGCTCAGATAGTTGAACCAGTATTTATATTATGGATCAGCCTCGCGCAGTGATTGGCCTCTCCTCGACATAAAGACGACAGTCACATTTGACGATTCGCTGCTGCTCTGCGGGATGAAATGTAAACGGCATTCACATCGCCTGCAAGCTGGGAAAAGTTCAATATTCTGCTTTTCAGATTTGTGTATTTCTATATATGTGCAGAGAAGCCATGAACACGATTTAAAGAGTCGTAGGTTCTGCGTAGGCCGGCTGAGGACTGACAACTGGTTGAGCTTAATGGTCGTTTCCCTGTTAGGAGAAGGAGTCCAGAGGAGTCCTGGCTGAAACTTTACTGTGTGCATTTAATTAACAATTCCAAGAATACACTAATGTGGGTTTGGGCAGGTACATGATTTGAAATGAGCGGTGGGAACCTCTGGGATGAAATAAGCCACACTGGGGGAAACTGTAGTACTATTTGAATCTGCAGACTTTTTCATGGACCAAACCTATTTTTCTGTATGTTCTTATGTTATAATAAAGGATATGTAAAATGTACCTTTGTGTCCAAGTTATTGGTTTAACTGTTTATGATTTTCAGGTGATTTGTTTGTATGTTTTAAATGAAAATACTGCTCCAAAAGATGCAAACAATATCCTTTAAGTGTTACTGAAATGTCACCAATTAAGTGCACTTTCACAAAAGACAGAAAATGTCAACGAAAAAATCAGTGGTGGAAAAGGTTCTGAAATTATTTACCAAAATACCACTACAACAATATTAAAGTTATTTACAAAAGATGTCCTCAATCCAAATCCTACCCTTGTAAAATCATCAATAGCTAAATGTTCTTGAAAGTAAAAGAGTTGTTCTGCTGTAGCTGCTCAAGGTCGTGTTACAGTTTATCCACAGTTGAGTTTAGTCCATTGTTTTGACTTGAAGTGTCCTTGAGAAGTCATTAACATGAACTATCTGAGATTGGAGAGGGAATCACTTCTAGTGAAACTAACAACTCAAAGACCTCTGAAAGCAACAAAGGCCTAGCTGGAGCTTTTTGCTTTCAGGTCATAAGCAAAATCAGTCGTCAACCAATGATTTCATCTCCAACATGGCATTTTGTTTTATTGTTATGTGTTCTCTATCAAATCTTAATCTGAAAATGAACTACAGCTGTTAGACACATAGTAAAGTACTAACAACTATATTTCAATATGAAATGAATTTTGGTAGAAGTTTAAAGATAAAATGAAAAACTCCACATACTTAATATGAATAACAGTTCAGTTCTCTCAAAATAACACTGAAATATAGTAATGAAAAACATGTAATTACTTTCCCCAACTTAATTTCACTCTTGAACTCCAAAACAATATTTGGCAAGGGAGTCCACTATTAACTGGCTATTGTAGAAATTGTTGTAAATTAATTTTCTGCTAACTGATTAATTCAGTGTTATGTATTATGGACCAGTATTTCCATTTGAGGCATTTCCTATGATTGTCATTCACTTCCTCATTACAAGAATGCAATAACCCAATGAACTAATTTCACCAACAAGTTGATTTTACTTGTGTTATATTTCATCCCATTTTAACCTGCAAGGTGTTGATATTCTATTTTTTGTATTACCAACAACTCTTTCTATGTAGTTGCTATTTATAAAATAGGGCTACTTCTCAAATTAGTCAAATTGAGTTAAAACTGGATTAGTCAATACGTGCGTGTGTGTGTGCGTGCGTGCGCGTGTGCGTGTGAGATATAAAAAGAGAGAGTGTGTCCCTGAGAGGCGAGCGAGCGGACCAACCAGCCGCAGAGGGCGGGCCAGCCTCAGCTTTGTGTCCGGTATAAATACACCTTGTCCCGGCTTCAGTGTGTCTCCGCACCCGCAGCAGCTCCGTCTGGAAGGTCAAACACATCATGGAAGCACCGAAGAAAATCTGTGTGATCGGCTCTGGTAACTGGTGAGTAAAATCACTACTTGTATTAACTTTGAGTAGTTTGAAGCTGAAATAGAGAAATGTGTCTTGTGTATTGAAATGAAATATTGGAGGAACATAGTCTATGCAACTTCATCCTTTGTAAAGCAGAAACATAATTAATATAGAGTTAAGAACGGCAAAGCGTATTTTGCTTTCAAAAGGGTTGAACTCCTAAAATATTTATTTAGAAGGCATTTCCCGCTTTTTATAACTACAATGTTTGTGTTGAGTCAGCCTTCAGGTGGTGTTGATATCCCTCAGCCTGCATGACATAGAGCAGTCTGTAATAATGGACCTGCATTCAAACCTGTACATACAAAAAAGTAGGACTGTAGTATTATAAGAAACTTGTAACAGACATGTTATGTATAGAAGTACTCATGATGTAGTGTTGTGGCTTTTTCAGTTAATATTAAATCGTATTTAATTGTCATTATTATAAATACACTAAAATGTATGCAACATTATAATTCTGTTGCTGGTCAAGAGAGATTTTGGATACTTTTGGTACTTCATTCATCATGTGTGCAAAAACTCAATCTGCAAAGTAAAAACAGTGGATTTAAAGAATAAAGAAGCATCAAATGGAAAATACTTAACTAATTTCTTGAATAAGGACAGTTGTGACAGGAAAAAAGTCAAAATGATATTGGAGAAATAATCAGGTGGTGGACCGTTTGCCAGTGTAGCCTATCCTATTCTCTATTTGATATAAATAAAGTTTAAGTGGCTGCTCTTAGCTTATGTTATGTTGATATTAAATAGCCTACAGTCTTAAAATACATCTCCTCTCTTGCCAGATAATTGTCCTGCGGTTTTCTTTTTCTCACCTGTAGTATTATTCTTGTCCGGGAAAACAGCTGAAGAACTATTCCAGTTATGTGACACTGAATGTGTTCACTACAAATGTCAAGGGTTAGGCTACGGGTCATTTGACAACTGTTCACTATTGGTAGATACACTACTGTCTTTTTATCAATCACCAACTATTAGAAACAAGCACAAATAATCTAAAACTCAAGGTTCACTCCCAAAGAGATGACCTAATCAGAGAAACTAAGGTTAGCAATGTTAACACATTTGATCGAACAATTTCCTTAACACAATATAAACTGTCAAACCTATGAATGGATTTCAGACAACTTTTTCATATATTTGTCTCTAGTATCACTTCAGGACCATTAATTTAAACCAATGTATAATTTCAACATAACAGAAAACATCAGGACATTTAATCTTTTTTGGGAAACTTGAAGTACAACAAGCCACTGTCTCTCACTGTGTCCCTCCATGTACACAGGGGCTCTGCCATTGCCAAGATTGTGGGTGCCAACGCAGCCAAGTATGACAGGTTCGACACCACAGTGAACATGTGGGTGTTCGAGGAGACGGTGAACGGACGTAAACTCACAGAAATCATCAACAACGACCACGAGAATGTGAAATATCTGCCCGGCCACAAGCTGCCCCCCAATGTGGTAAACAAACACTCTTGGATTACATTTATGACTTTCTGGTGTTGTTATATAAAGTAAAGTTTCACCATCTTTCCTTTCTCTCCTTCAGTTGGCTGTTCCAGACTTAGCTGAGTCTGTGAAAGGAGCCGACATCCTCATCTTCGTGATCCCTCACCAGTTCATCGTGAGAGTGTGTGACACCATCAAAGACCACATCAAGAAGGATGCTGTAGGCATGTCTCTCATCAAGGTAACGTCTTTCTTACGTTTTATATGGAAACATATGGTACTATAACATATAATATTTGCAACATTTCTTGACATTTCTACTCCAACTTGACCTATTTTGGATATAAACATTGCTGAGTAATTAAGGGGAAACTTTCTTTTTCTTTGGTCAATATGTTTTTACTTAAAGGTCACCTATTATGCAAAATCCACTTTTTCATGTCCTTTATACATCAACATGTGTCCCCTCTGTGTAAAGAGATTCTGAAAGTTTCATGAACAAAGATTCTCTCTCTTTTTGTCCTGATCCATTTATATAAAAACCTGTCTGAAAATGAGCTGATCAGATCTTGGCCACTTTATGATGTCATAACGATTTTGTGGCTTGTGTAACTATTAGCCAATAACCAACCAAGGTAACCCCCCCCCCTCACCTGATCACCTGAATCTCCTCCTAGAGCACCATTGTGTTCTTTTTAACCAAATATCTCTCAGAGGGCCGTGGGGAATGGCTCCTTATTTTCATCTAAAGTAACAGACAGAGAATCAGCACTTTTGAAACCGGGCTGAAACAGAGGGGATTATGGGATGCTGCAATGATCTGTTTGGTATTTCAAGCCAAAAACTTCAGAGACATGTTTTGTATATATCTGAGACTTATTATATATTGATGAAAAACAGTATAATAGGGGACCTTTAACAATTTTCACTTTGTATTAGTTATTTGCCAGGTTGTACAATCATAATGTCTGTGATGTAAGAATCCAAAAGAAGATCCACACAGAGCACGTGTACAGTACTTATACATTTATAATATATCACATTTCAAATTCAAAGAAGCTTAAATGGCAAGAACATAACTATTTTTAATAGTGTTTTTAATACTTTAATTGCATTTTTCCGGTATTTTCTATTCATGTATTTTTTTTTGCTATGCACCAATACATCAAAGCAAGTATTTGTAGGTGGAACCAATTGGGAAATATACCAGATTTGTATTATTCTGGAGCAGGAATGTCACTATGCACAAAACAAAGGGAAAGTATTTCTGCATACTAATTTTTAAACTTGATTTGTTTTGTATTTCTTCCTGCTCCAGGGGGTGGATGCGGGTCCAGAGGGGCTGAAGCTGATCTCAGAGGTCATCAGAGGGAAGCTGGACATCACAACGACGGTCCTCATGGGAGCAAACATCGCCAACGAGGTCGCTGACGAGAAGTTCTGTGAAACAACCATTGGTACGGAGGACAGATGGACATTGTATGCCTATAATTAAGGGAACCTAATTTAATTTGTCCTTTGGATAGGACTTTACTATGAAAGTAGAGCACAGTATTGCTTTGAGTCTGGATGCATGCTTACAATATACAACTCTCTGTTGACATGTTTTTAGCTGTAAACAGCAACTTTGAGAAAGAATCGCAGTGAGCAACATGACTGATTGATATTACATATATAATTAAAATACATTATATTGTTCAAAACTATCATCAAATAGGTGTAATGTCATGCCTCAGATTTGGTTTTCCTATGTTATGGTAATCTTCATGGTAAAACTTTGGGCTACGCTGTGTAAAATATGTTTTGAAATGAAGTTCAAAAAACACACTTTTACACATCACCATTTTGGTGTGTCTGAAAAAAGAAATCCTTACTATTTAATATATAACTTTTAGAAATTTATTTTGAACGGTTTTGATGGAACAAAACAGTGTTATTCCTTACAGTCTAGTCTAGTCTTACCAATGCATGTTTATTGTTTTATACAGTATACATTTCTTAAGTGCTGCATTATGGGAAATGGTGTTGATTTATTTGTAACTTTTGGACACAGGTTGCAAAGACAAAGCCCACGGGCCCATGCTGAAGGAGCTGATGCAGACCACCAATTTCCGTGTGACGGTGGTGGAGGAGGCTGATGTTGTTGAGATCTGTGGGGCGCTCAAGGTGAGCTCTCCTCCTTCGAAACACATTTACTTATTTCTATTGTCACCAGCATCTGAGTGCCTTAGAAATGTCAATGTCATTCAATGTCTGTGCTCTCTAAAAAATACATAAAAGTTTAAATACTCCAAAATATCAAAATAATTCCATGCAGAAGATAATGTTTTTATATAAATCTATTCAATTCACCATTTGCATCTGCTCATCTTGAAGGTGCAGAATGGATAAAAAAAACCTCTTCCCACTTATAATCTCACTGTGTTTTTGATATATTTGGAATGTTTTCAATATGTAAACAGTATTCAAAAGGGTATGTGTATGCATTAAAGAGGCAAAACGTGATCTATTTGGAGGCATTTCTTTCTCATCCAAACAGTTAGATTCCTCCTGTGCATTAGTACTAACCCCAACCTGTAAAAAGTGCAACCCAATGACAGCAGCGTGTGCTCTTGTGTCTGCAGAACATTGTGGCAGTGGGAGCAGGATTCTGTGATGGCCTGGGATTTGGCGACAACACCAAGGCAGCGGTGATCCGTCTCGGCCTGATGGAGATGATCGCCTTCGCCAAGATCTTCTGCACAAACTGCCCCGTCTCCCCCGCCACCTTCCTGGAGAGCTGCGGCATCGCTGACCTCATCACGACCTGCTACGGTGGACGCAACCGCAAGATCGGAGAGGCTTTCGCCAAAACAGGAAAAGTATGAGTGAACAGATTTCCTCTTCCTCTGTGTTTGTCTTTATCACTCCCTTTTCGTGAAGAGGATTATCAGATACTTAAACAATGACAACAATCTTTTGTTTCAGAGCATTGAGCAGCTAGAGAACGAGCTGCTGAACGGTCAGAAGCTTCAGGGTCCAGCCACCGCATCAGAGGTCCACGTTATCTTGGAACAGAAAAAACTGGTGGAGAAGTAAGTTTGTCTTATTTTGTCCAACACACGCATACACCCATGGTAACATTCAGAAGGTATACAACCTAAACTATGCTAAGAAAATAAGTAAGTGAACATATTTATGGAGAGGTTATTAAGAAAAGCACAGACATAATAAATTGTTTTTGAAAAGGTAGCAGACCAATGAAGGGAAGCAGTAAAATGTGAACTGGAGACAAATCAGGGATTATCTAATGCTTGTTACTCTCCTACTAACATGTGTATATATAGCAAAGATTTAGCTTAGTCATAAAGTTGTCAGTGCCTAAAGTATAACATGAGTAAGGAAAGTTTGCTATAACAAGGTGAACTTTTCCAGGATATTATCCAAAAGATGGCTTGTTGGGACATTATCATTTTAATCTTACCCTTTCTTGCTGTGAGTTATCTGAGAACATTGGTACCACCCTCATGTTATTATAGTAAATATGAAGCTAAAGGTATCAGCTAAGACTGAAAACAGTAGAAAACCGCTTGCTTTGTCATATTTTGCTTCTTTAATCTATACAAAAGCGACGAGTGGTTAAATGAGTTTGTAAGTGTGGCACCAATCTTCTAATCTAGGAAGCCAATAGGACAATTTCCCAAAATGTCCAACCTTTTCTTATATCCATTGTTCTTAAATTATTTATTTTACCTCGCCAGGTTTCCTCTCTTCACTGCTGTTCACAATGTCTGCTTCAACGGCCATCCAGTGACAGAGTTCATCAAATGTTTGCAGGACCACCCAGAGCACATGTGATGGATGACAGCAGCCTGATGAACAGGTGAAAGTTGAGAAAGGATTTACACTAGAACTACTGTCTAACCCAGGTCATTTCAGGGGGGATGTTAGGTGAAGACTGTGCCTAAACCTGACTACCTTCATGTTTAAATCTCAAACAGAAAATACCTGCGCTGCTTTGTTGACCCGCTTCCGTATTATGGACAGAAAACCCTTACTTCTGTTTTTACTGATTCGAAACAAGTTGTTGTATTAAACCCAGTCTTAAAAGTTTAAGGAATTTTAATCACTTTGCCTTACACGATATTCAAACCCTGACCTTAATCTTACTAAATGTGACATAATTTATTAAATTAAAGTGCCTTACCCTGCCTTAACACTGACATTACTGTTTTCCATGTAAAATAAACACTGAAAACACAGCAGTTACCACTCACATGTTTTTCTTCTGGACTTCTTATGATTTATTTTGGAATAAATTATTGAACTTTATGCCTGTGTTCGTGTGTAATGTTTTCGTTTTCACTTGCTGGTGTGTGCCTGCAGGACACACTCTGCAGCAGACTCCCTGTAATCTGACCTGAGCTCAGTCAGGCTGCCACTCTAAACTCTTCACCTTTACCATTTTCTAGCCATGTCTACTTTAACCTTTCTTATAGCACCTATCCTGCCTGAGGCCTCATAAGTGATGGCTGAGTATGGATTATTGCTGCAAAAATATTCAATTTATAAATGCCCTCATAATCTAAGAATCTTTTGTTTTTATTTTGAACCCACTTGATGACAATTAAAATGCAAGAAACCCATGTGTGATCATTAACGGCCATCTGTCCTACACCATATGCCAGTGTATTCCATCAATGCTCTGTTGATAGGAGATTCAGCTCAAGGCAGCGTGAAAGTCAGTGGGAAGCCTATTTCCTCTGGCCTTGAAGTGGTAATATACATTCCCTGCCTGCCACTTTCATAATTGTTGAAACACTTTATAACAATTCCTCTCCATTATCGTTTCTCCTCTAACACTATCGTGTTACTTTTGCTTAGTTTTGTTGTAGACCGTGGAGCCACATAATTTACCACTTGTTTAAATCAGGATCCCTGGCTGAAACCCCTTGCATAGTTATTGAGTCAACTGGCCTGTGAGATTTCTAATAATACCGCGCTCTAAAGGGGCAAATGGTCATCTATAATTAGACAGCAGACCGATCTGCAGCTGCCCCATCCCTCCTTAACAACACGGATGGAGGGATGCTCCATTTTCGTAACACTACACCATTGTGGTGTTATGAAAAAACAATAATGTGTCTGTCATTTATAAGAAACTTTGAGCAAATTCGAAATGCACAAATATACATGTTGATGGTGACTTTTAGTGGAGTGTAAGGTACATCTGAGCCATTACAGAAATAAAATCCCCTAAAGGTCAAGATGTCACAATATTCCTTAACAATTTGTAGTTGCAATGTATATATTGTCCACTAGTGTGCGCCATCACATCAATCACAAGTCGTCAATTTGATCTGCCTTTTACTCGGCACCTTTAAAGATAACCTATCAATCGGATTACTGAATGGAGGCAGTAAAATCTCCCAGTGTAGTCTATAATATAGTAGTATAGATTATACAACACCACCATACCATAGTTAAATATTAAAGTTGCTGACAACAGTGTGGCTCCAACAGGGAAACAGCAGGGATGGATCCCATACATGCATGGCACCCATCCCCTCGGCGAAGGAGGACCCGCCTTCACTTCCTCAATTCCAGCCCTCATCTCAGGAGGGCAGCCAAGGTCTGTCAAGCTTTTTGACAACAGCCAATACATACCGGAAGCTGACCAGATTGACCTACACAATAAAAGAACAAGATGAAGAAATGTAGACAATTCGTTACTTGATTTGAGCTTTTTGGCAAGTGTCAGGTCTTATCATTTACATGTCAAAACTGGCAAATTATAATAATTTCACAACAGCCAACACTACAACTTAATAGAGCATCCCATCAGCCCTTGATAGGCTGGCTCGCTGATTATTTCTAGGGTGACTGATTTATGGATTATCAATGTATTTTTGTTTGTTGATATTATAAATAAACGTGATGTTTATTTAAAACCTTAACTATGATTTGACACAAGGTTACAATAAATTAACGAATTGGGTGATTAAATTGGTCTTATGTAGAACACATTTTGATTATGTTTGTAGCCTAATTTGCAATTCACATTTATATTAGAAAACAATGATTCCAATTTAACGTGACTGGACCCATACAGTCTATGGACTGGACACACATGACACTCTTTTCACCTATTATAAAAAAGGGTGATGGTTATGTTTTCTATGAGACCAATTTATTTATCTTCATTATTTTCAATAATATGAGGCAGGATAGTAAAACCAGTTTTTCTACTGTATTTTGATGATTACTATCAGTCCCAAGTCAAGTCTTCAGCTGCGACAAAAAGTAACAAAATGCAATATTATAAAGATAACTCAACAAAAAGTGAATATCTATTAAACCTTAATATGGAAAGTAATAATACTTCGTGATATTGCCACTCAAACTAAATCTAACGGTCACCGTTTGGAGTCTTATTTTGAAAATGTCCACCGGAAGTCTCTTGTTTCCTCTTCAATTCAACGGTAAAGTTGAGGGAGGCAATTCATCGCACAAGTAACCCAGGGGAAGGAGACTTCATCAAGTTTCTCTCATCCTTTTCTTTTGGATAATAACTTATTTTCATCCAACCGTCCGGGGCCCGGGACACAGAAACATGGCTGCTCTTTCAGCCTGGTTCTGGAACGAGCGGTTCTGGCTCCCACACAACGTCACCTGGGCGGACCTGGCGGACCCGGCTCCCGGGGTGGAGTACCCCAAAGCGGGGCACTTGTTTTCTGCTTTGCCGCTGGCTTTGGGGATTTTCGCATTGAGGATTATCTTCGAAAGGTGTGTCCACGTCGCTCATGCCGCTGTTTCCTGTAGGGTGGGGGTGAACATACTTTTAACAGAGGTCTACTCACAACAATGGAGTGATGGCTTTGCTGGCAGTGGTTGAACCAAAGTATTTACATTTGTGTTAACTCGGGAAATTCTTTGGTCAAACACCATTTCCTCGTGACCAGTAGTTCTTCCGTCCAACAAAACACTACCATCTATTTTTTTTTTGTTATTCTCTTTCTCTTCTACTTTTTAAGAAACATGTGTGATCATAATTGTCTTCAGGAGGTACCTTCAAGGTGCCTGCAACACCGCCCATCACCTCTCTTCTCTAAACTCAAGACTAGTTTGGTAATCATTGACTGTTAACCAATCTGCTTATGTGTCTTTAGCTGCCATTAACTGATGCATGCGTGCTAGGGACTGCTGCCCTCCAGCCTGCTGCTTCTCTGAAACTGCTTCATCTTCTTTTCACTTATAAGATCAAGGTATCCATCATGTCTCAGGTCCTGTGTAAAGGTTAAGCTAAGTTCAACAGTGGAGCAGGAAACAGTGTCATCAATAGGCTGTCAAACCCACACATAAACAAACGCACACTCTGGGTTGGTACACACTTGGATGTAAGCCACCTGCATGTCTTGCTACACAAACAAGTGAAGAAGTTCTATCGGAATTTTGCTTTGGCAAACCAGAGCAAATGTTGTGTGCAACTAATATGCCTATTGTTTCATACTTGACCTGTTGTGGAGTTATCTTATCTTATCATCACAGGCCTTACCATCTTCCTCATACAAAAAGTGCACTAAAAGAATGCTACTTCCTTTCTCCAAGTTTCATGAAAATCCTGCAAGTAGTTATTCCAAACTAAACCAAAAGCATAACCTCGTTTTGCGGGTAACAAGTCCAAGCTTACTTCTCAAATATTGATATGAAAGTTTGTTTAGTTTGTGTGTTTGTGTTGTGTTATTGGTCCCTCAAAACGGTGTATTTACACAGGCGGTGACAATGGACCTTATACAGTATTTTAAGAAAAGGTTTTCACAATTACTTCGTTCGTTGTTAAAGGTTTTGCCTGTTTCCTTTAAATTCAAGATACAAGAATAAGAGGAGCGTTGCATTGGACCAAGCAAAATGGACATCATAGCAGACTATACACGTTATTACTCACATTTCAGATAGGCCCCTTTTAGAGTATTTGTTTTGGCTAAAATGTGCCCTTTTATTTGACTTATTGCTTAATGGTTTCCATCTTTTGATTGCTTAAGTAAACAATTGCTCTATTATTTGTTTGCATAGTGTTGAAGCCAGTAGCAGGGTGCCAGTGTTCAGAGAAACATTGGAGGTTGATAGGGATGTTGGATTTCTCAGTTCAGAATGGCGAGAGAAGATGAAACAAAGAAATATAAACAATAGGTTTCGGGAGATATGGCAGTTTATACAGTGAAAGAAAGATGGAGATTGTATCATAAGCGTTGACTAATCAATTGGCCGATAGTGAGAACAAATCATCTCCAATGATTTAGATCGATTTATTGATAAAGTAGATTCCAAATGCAAAAATTGCAGAGAATTGTTTTCAGCCTCTCAAATATTGAGATTTTTGTCCTATTACATTACATTTATTTGATCTAACGCCAAAAGACGTTCTTATCTTGTTACTTTACCTGTAAAGGGATTCTTCATTGACTCTACAAAAAAGTGCATTATATTAGATACTCAATGCAGAAAAGCATATTGCCCTCATGTCAAAAAGTAATAGACAGTGCTAGGTGTATAATGTAACACACTTAATCTGGTGTCTAATCTGGGCTCTGCTCTCACAGCCGCTCATTCCAGATGTTTCATTTTAACATCTAACAGTATAGGCATTGTCATTGGCGTGCCTTTTAATGTTTGAACTGTATGGCTATAAACAGTTATGTGATCAAAGCTTACATAAAGTTTAAGAGCTCCACAGTCAGGAGTAGTATTGTGTGACCTGTAATAAAATGGCTTTCTATGTTTGTCTGACAACAAAGAGAAAAGAGGTTGACTAAGCATCGCAAGTAGGAGACAATTACCTGAGTATAATTAAATACTCCTGTCAATTCAAAATGGGTAGGGCCTATTGTCATTCGGGCATGGTTTCTAGACTTGACACTTACAGCTCCAAACTCAGCGTCAGACTTTGTTTCATTTAGACATGGTCAAGTGGTTGTAAATAAGAAGCAATCAGATATTGGAGGTGTGTGAGGAGAGCTGCTGAGGTGTTCAGTGAGATGCACACACACTGAGCCAGCTATCTCATGTGTCAGAGCTGGACCGGCTGTCCCTCTCCGGGCTGTCCTGATCAGAGAATGATCCGGAGCGATGTTATCAGAGAGCGTAAACCCTGCCGCTGTCTGACACCGGCTACCTCATTCATTTATTCATCAGATAAAGACATCACACCACAGCTTCAGCTCCTCCTCTCCGCACAACCTGAACCCGGGCAGAGCTGTTTGTTTGCGCACACTGCACTAAATATAGCACACACACACACACAGACACATGCACTGTTCTCACACACACCTGCA